CTAAACAAAAATCAATGAGAATGATATCCGTTGAATTTCTCATATGTCTTTGCATCCTATTTTACGTTTCATATAGATAACACGTCTTCCTTGTAAATAATAAATAAGAATAAAAAGGGAAATCTAATTTGTGCGTGTTAGCCGGATAATGAAAATTACTGTAATCAAATGCGAACCTGACACATCAAATCGGGGAATACTTATCAGTAATTGGGGGCATCACACGCCCAAATCGACGATTCAAACAGCGAGACTTTCCCATGACGAAATGACAATTGTCGGGATAGGAGGAATGATCAAGAATGGACGAATCCTTGCTTCTAGGGAATTACAAGACAAAATCCAATTGAAGAATAAGGACATTGCGCGATAAAAACCCGCTAGAATGAAAACCCGTAAAGGGCGTCCTAGGCAAAAATTAGGGTAAAAAATAAAAGAATCAAAATCCCGATAGGATACGTCCTATGGGAAAGTTAGGGATATATAAAAATGTCTATCTGAGTTGAAATCGAAAGGTGTCTCGAGTATTCCCTTCGAAAGCAAGAATTCATAAAGATTTCACTCTTAGTTCGAAACACTAACGTCCAAGCAAGTGGAACAATTTTTTTGAAATTATCAAATCATCCATGACTTTCTAGGGGGCAACCTTCTATCTCTCTGTGTATGAATCACGAACTCGGGGCATGCCCGGGCCTTCGAGCTTTGTTAAAGGGGCACGTGTAAATTGAAAGTATTGTTTTAAATGCCATAACACTCTTTCGTTTCTCTTCTCCCTCTAAATATCTACTCTAGGCCTCATCCATCAACCCTTAACAAACAAAATGTATTTGCAACAAAGATGTTACTCAATAATAGCATGGAAAGGATAACAAAGGAACTGTTCTTACCGAAAATCTACTGTAGAGATGATCCTCCGAGTAAGATTGGTTAGCCTCCTTCGCTGGTACGCTTGATGTTCCAAGATGAGGGTGGTACCTGCAGAAGAGACTCCGATGCCAAAATTAGGGTTTGTATGAGTATGAGTCTCATATAAGTAATGCACGTACCTTAGTGTGAGTTAGGGTTGCGTTGGGCCTTGGGCCTAAGATAAGATATGATGTGATTAGATAACGGATCTCATCTGGAGCGAGATCCCCTGAGATCGGCTATGATCTATTTAAGTGCC